GCGGGGGGGGGAGAAGATCAGTATCTCTGGGATGACACTTATGATAATGGTGACACGATAATGGTGACGCTATCCATTACTTAGAACTCAGTCTTGCAACAATTAGAAGGAAAATGAAATAAGCTAAATGAATATTGATAAAGGAAAGGACACAGCTAGAATAATGCAACTAAGTATCAGTGAAACAGTCTGTTTTGCCAGAGATTCTCTCTCAAGTATTCCACATGGAAATAAATATTCTTGAGGATGACATTTGCAAATTCATACACCATATAAAAAGTGGCTAATCTTTTTTGATGTGTAGCTGTTTTCTACATTATGATTCTAGCATCAAGATCTAAAATTACTCCATTACTCTACAGAACAATAAGAATTCCCTATGGTAAACTAATTCCAAGGTAAAATTCAACTCTGGTACTTGCCTAGTTGAGGTTGCCTCTTGAATCAAAGTTTCCTTTGCTTTTACAGAAGGCTCTGGCTCTGGAGTCTCCTCTTTCTTTTCTGGTGCAGGGGTGATGCTACGGCTCTTAGTTCTATGATGAGGGGATCGAGAATGGCTGCGTTTTCTCTCTCTCCTGACAGGGGACGATCTCCTTCTAGGGGAAGGAGATCTTGATTTGCGTCTAAGAAGAAGAATTCACATTCAAATACTTTATCCTTTTGGGAACACACTTAAAAAAAATTAAATTCCATATATGTTACAGCCATGCACTCTACTCACTGTACAAACAAAATGCAGAATTATTCTGGATTTTTTTTTTTTTTTATAGCATTTAAGTTTAGACTGAAGTCAGTTGCGGTTAACAGAAAATCTGGACAAAAGTTATCATCACTGAAAATGGCCCTCATTGTGACAATGCAACATCCTTACAATTACAAACATTGCTTATGCCACTATTCCAGTCATTTATCTTCTATTAATGTACGGTAATAAGTTGGACTGGTTGTAAACATGTAGGATTTGTACAATGTGCATTATTGCTATATTTTTAAGTGACCACTGTATTAAATACAACCACTGTATTAAATACAACCTTCTTGGGCTTCTGGATCTCTCCCTTTTTTCTCTGCTGTCTTTGTCTTCCTTGTCCCTCTTGTCTTTGTCCTTATCCTTGTCCTTGTCCTCATCTTGCTTCTTCATAGAAGCCAACTTCTCTTGCTCAATCTAAATTAGGAGTATATTAGGTACTTAATTGAGAAGCATCACACAGAAATTACCATAAACATTTGTTTTAAGCAACCAAAAACTTGTGTTAAAACAAACACTTACAGTTGTTTCATAAATCCGTGTAAATTACACATATTCAGCAAAAGGAAAGGCACATAACACAGCTTCAAGGCTTTGTAGCTCTACAGAAATTACAGTGCTATGGGCGGCTTACACACTTCAGAGCCCTCTGGTCAGGTCCTGATTGGGCTGCAGCTCTTCCCCTGTAGGCTGTCAGGGGGACAGCTACACTCCCTCTCACCCCACCGTGGGGAAGCGCAGGAGGGAAGGAAAGTGGAGCACGGTGGAATACTGGGGGAACAAGAGACCTCCTGCATGCTAGACACAATTGTCCACATGTTACATGCACTGCTACAAACATGACCCATGGCAGGGGGTTTGACTTGATGATGTGCTCAGGTCCCTTCCGACCCTACTAACTATGAAACTCTGACAAAAAGTTCCTGTTAAAAATAGGAACCAGTTCGTGGCAGATCCACCATCTTTCTGGTGCTATAGATGGCAAGAAGGTATGCACGCTTGCTTTTTGTAGAGATGAAAGGGCACATATAGCACGACAAATGCATCTGAGGCTTTGGACAGCACACAGAGCATTTAACACACTATGCTGACTTAGCAGCCAAGTACAAGAATGGTACTAAATTAAACGCCAATAAATATCAACAGATTGTTTTCCCCCCTAGTAACAGGCAGCTAGTCAGTATAAGCCAAATTGTAAAATGCCTACTTCAAACTGCTAGTATGGAAATGAATGTCAGCTAAGCTGGAATAGTCAGAACCCAAAACAGGGCACAAGAAGTAACTTTTCAGAAGTCTAGCCTGGAAGAAATACCATAAGATAACTGAAAACACCACTTTAAAGAGTCAATCCCATAGTGTTTTATGAAATTAAATATTTATTGTATTTTATCTTGGAAACCAACCACCTAAAAATGAGATATTATTAGCACTTCACACACTACTATGCCCAGAGCATCCACCTGACTTTGAAAAGATTCATTCAAATTTGCAACACTGTTCCTTAGTGCCAGCTAGTTTAAGCAACACAGCTCTTAAGTCAACATTAATATAACAATGAATACAAAGCAAATCAGGATCCAACAACTACACTGAATAAAATATAGATGTAGTCGCAAAAGTTACATTAAATTTTCTCTGCTCCTCTTTGGGATAGGGCTTTCACACTGGGATATGGTTTCATTTTTTTCTATCATATAAAAATTTGTGTGTGAAAAAATGTACTCCTTTCCAATGCACTAAAAGCACGTATATTATGGAAGTGACACATTTCCTACCAAAATGGAAGAGCTCTGAAGAGGGCAAGCTTCTGGCAATTCTAATACCTGGCAGCAAATAAAAACATACACAAGCAACCTTCTTGCAATTCCTACAATAGGTGTATTAAAATTCTACCTGTCTTTGTTTTATCTCTTCTTTCTTCAGCTCCAGGAAAGCAGAGGGAATACCAGCTATGTTTTCTTGTGCACTTAGCAGCAGTGGCCACAGTTCACCCATGAACTCTCTAGCATTTTTTCCATTCAAAAACCCAGTCAGGTTGATTTGCATCATTTTGGAATCTGGATTCTGCAAAGAGATATGACAGGAAGAGAAGCAGGTTATTTGAAAAAAACAACATACAGCTCATATTAAAATTTAGCTTATAACTACCACGGGGGCTAAAATAGGTGTAACTCAAGGACTATTTTTTAAAAACTCTCTCTAATGATTTTGTATCAATAAGCTCTATCATATTACCAATTTTCTCTCGTGCCTTATGAAAACATTCAGAGTGGCCTGTTAATCCTTTGTGGATTTCATAAATATTTTTGGCTTGTGCAGCTGCTATAAGGTGACCTGAGGGCCTTGACTTTAACACACCAACTACTACAGTGCTAAGAGTTCTTATCATATTTTCTAAACTTTTTTTTTTTTTTTTTTTTTTTTTTTTTTTTTTTT